TTTAGTAATAATGATTGTATTAATATTTTGGAATAAACTGTTTATTCTTTTTTCAAAAAAAATTATAAATAGAAAAACTTGTTAAAAGTTTATTTCTTGTAAAAGATTATTACTTTTTAATATAATTTTTAGAAAGAAGAGCTGATTGGCCTAAGGATTAATAATATAAAGATAAAAATTATTAAAGAAGAGAGAAACTTAGAAAGAAAAATCTTTATAGAGAGGGAAAAATCTTGTTTTGATAATAAAAATAGAAGAAAAAGGAGGAAAAGAATAGATGTTTAAAATAAAAACTAATAAAAGAATAAGATAGAAAAGGAAAAGTAAAGTAAAAATTTATAAAAAAGTAAAAGTAAAAGATATAGAAAAAGAAAACCAAATAAAATAAACAACTTAAAATTTTCCAAAAAAGAAAATTTTTAAGTAATATCTTTTATTTTATTATAAACAATTATTGAAATTTATTAATATTTTTAACAAATATTTTTCAAAAATTTATAGTTTTCTAAAATATCTTATAAATGAAAATAAATTTAATATTATAAGAATGCTGGTTACTATATTTTAACTGATCTTTTTATTTGTTTTTTATTAATATACAGTATATAGTTTTTCAAAAATTTCAAGGGATTTATTAATGCTAATGTTTTTGTTTAAAAAAGAATAATAAAATATTTAAGAATAAATTAATGATGGTAACTTGACAACACATGCCCAAGGTGCCTGTTTCGTCGTTCATTGTTTGCATCAAACTTATGATTGGGAATATTTTATTTTTTTAATGAAAAAAGTTCTACATACAACACAAGATTTCAACAAAAAGGACCCACATAATTATTAGTAGTAGTATTTTCTATACAGGAGCATTTTTTTTTAGAATGAATTATTATTTCTAAGAAATTAAAGATAATAGAATAACAAAGTTATGACGGCAGTTAATTGTAGTAGTAATGCAGATCTTGTGAGGGATGAAGCATCGCTGTGTGGGGTGGTAGAAGAAGAAGAAGAAGGGTAATCAGCGGAAGTTGGGGTGGTAGAATTTCCACTTCCACCAGATGTGGATGGACCAGTAACTTTACTACCCGCAACGGTAAAGTTTGTTGGAACCTTGATGATTTGGAAACCAGCTTGACCGCTTTGCACAATCGTACCAACGAAGCTAATCGGTCCAACATCATTGTCAGGAGGTGTCCACATAAAGGAAAGATTGGGACCTTTAGGGTTGGGATCTGTTTAAAGAGGAAAAATGTCATTAAAGGGAGGCCAATCGAAGGTGAAAATCAAAAATTCATTGAAACACAA